TTGCTGGTTTTGACAGTTGTTAAAAATAGCTTGTGGCGGTATCTTTCATCCCAGCAACTGGGCTAGCCCGCTTGTGAGTGTTTATATGGAGAAATTTCCACCCCGGTAAGCGAGATCTCACCTCTTTTCAAGTGAGATCTCACCTCTTTTCAAGTGAGATCTCGGCAACCTGGCCAGCCCACTTGTCCATATAAACGCAAAATAATTTTTACTATAAAAATAACTACACAGCGAGATCTCACTTACCGGGCTGTCTCACTTAGCGGGCCAGCCTGGCTTCCATATAAACAGGACCTAAGTACCAGTCAATATAAGTCCCCGCTTGCTTGAATCTAGGAAGTGTGGGGTTCATGGGGCAAAGCAGGGCCACTGAGACAAAGCCAGGCATTTATAATAAAATCCAGCAATTTTGATTATGCAGTGCTGGGAAATAAAAACTGCCTACTTCTGGGTTGGGGGAGGTGGTAATTTACATTGTCTGGTATTTGTACACTGAATAGTTATGGGGTGCCATGGCTGCCAATTCTGTTGTCTTTAAAACGACTGCTAATTCTAAACTGCAGTGATTCAAAACATTGTCCAAACATGTTCTGGAGATTATGAGTAATATTTTAACTTTGGTACACACTCATATTTTGGAACAATCACCAAGAAAGCTGACTATAAATGTATCAAGATCTGTAAATATAAAATATAAATCTTACCTGCACGATTTGCCTGCCTGCGAAAAGGTTATTCCATTTGGAACGTTTTCCGTAGTTGTGGACCTACGTTCCACATCGAATGCATCCTGCCCAACATCAGCGATTGCCCAGTTTGTGAAGCAACAACGTTGGCAAATGTTGAAGCTCTTGGAAGGTCTTCGAAAGACAGCAAATATTAACGCTGATTGCCCCGGTGACTTGCTTTGAAGAGGACGAAAGCAACCAAGAAAGTGAGGCAGCCAGTGACGATTGACGACGAACCAGAAGACGAACAGAACGAAACCCTCGTGAACAGTTTATTAGCAAAAATATTAAGCCCTTCGCGAAGGTCTGTCAGACAATCGCCATTTTGCCAACCGGATATGTACTTTTAATGTACAGTAATGAGTCATGCGATATTGTACCTGTCAGTCGTGAATCGTTGTGACGCATTTCCGATGCGAAATGAGATCGATGAAATCAGATAGGTAATATTTAAAAACATGTCAGCTGTGGTGTGGGGAAAATAAGTTTAAACTGCCAAATCTACCAATTTTTTATGTGTGTGTAAAGATAGTGCAAGTGAGAGTATGTTATTTTACGCGCGTCGAAACACTGTTATTCAAACATAAATATTTCGCGTTCTAGATCGAATTTAAAAAATCCCCCCGAGGAAATTAAAGAAGAAAGCATGCTTTATCAGAATTTGTCAGTTTTGGCGAAAAAAGTTTAATATCGAATGTCACCGAGGGCGTAGAACAAGGTGTTATTTTCTCACTCCTTTTGTTTACATGTTTCGAATTTCAGGCATTCTGATTGGTCAAGAACGCAAAATGTAAACAAACGCGCTGATTGGCTAACATTATTTGCCCTTGTTAGTACGCCCTTGTTTTTCAGATGTATCATAATTATAAATCATGATAACAGTTGTATATACTGTAGCACTGCCACATGATACAAATTTTTGTTACTTTAACGCTGATTTTTGAAATTTCTCGAGCTTCATTCTTGATATCTTGCTATTCCTTAAAAATTTCCTGTGAGATTAAAAAAATTTCCTGGCAACACGCATGCTACCATGCTGGCGGACGTTCTCACGCCTTGCTCTGAAGTTTTGAAATAAACGGATGTGCGTGCAGAAATAAATGAACTAAAACTACAGCAGGTTCAATTTTAACCAAGGGTTAGCGCTAATGCAGTTTTAAACAAACGGGCCCAGAAGAACAGAAAAAACTTAGACGTTTCAAGCGAAGGCCCGCAAATTACATTCTTCGCTACCTACAACCATTCATTCAACCATTCATTCATTACACCATTCATTCAACATTCAATTAACCACAACCGCCTTTTGCTATGAAAAATATTGTACAATAATTTTGCTTAGAATATAAATATACTTACAAAGAACAGCATCTGCCCAAGATCACCCATGACTTTCAGTTGATTACAATCATATTCATTTCCTCTATATGGGATGACAACTTGACTGCCGACACGACCTAAACATCAAATATAGCCATTAAGAGGAGAATCTTTTGTATGTTACGTATAACATCCGCTCAGAACTAATGAAATTACTTTTCACTTGCATGGTTATAAAAATATATATTCAATTTTTAAAATTTCAAGCGGCAAACAAACTTAAAAAGTATGAACAGTGCTTTATCTGTAAAATTACAGGCCTTATATTTTACAGGCCCATCTGACAAAATGTCCGATGACTGTGAGTTTGGGTCGGACATGTGTATTATGATGTCCGATGACCTTCAGTTTAGTTTGGCTCGGAAATAATTCTGAATGACACAAATTAATATCAGCACAGTGTATTAATTCTGAACTGTAAATGTTGTGAAAATATTAAATAATTTGCGTCATTCATACCTATGTCCAAGCCAAATTAACTTGCTTGCCAAAAACAGCAGTACGACTTTCATTGTCAACTGAAGCAATAAGCCCGTTTCCCACTTGACATTTTCCATTTAACATAGTTGAGCCTCTAGTCCTGGACTAGGGTACACTTCGATTTACGTTGGACAAAGCTACCGTTCGGTCGGACACCAATATACTCGGGTCGGACAAACAATAAACTTCAGTTTCACTTTGGTCGGACAGAATGTCCGGTGGTTTCCTCTCTACGTCGGACAATTTCACGAATGGGTCGGACAATGTCCGTGACCGATATTTTAAGACTTGAAATTATGCTAAAATGAAGAGATTTTAGATGGTACGCCAAAGAAAAAACGATCTCTGAAACTCAGTACGTTTTGCTTAATATATATTGCTGTATAAATATGGCGTCACAGCATCATAATGATAATTGTATTTAAATTGACAACTATTATTTTGTGTTTAGCAACTGCCAAATACATTTAAAAAGGTTGCTAACTGAGTAAAGCACAACATTAAGCTAACACAAAGCAATTTTGAGAAGAACGCACAAACGATTTTTGGTTTTGAACACTTTTCATCGCAAATAAGCGACATTGAAAAAACTTGCGTCTTAACACGGAAAAGAGTTAATCTTAATATTATGCGAAAGCAGGGCCAATGGGGTATAAAATATATATAACGAATCTTCCATATACAGTTTCTTACACTGCATATAAGAAATTGGCAAGCTTTTGTTTAAAATTCCGGCCACCGTGTAAGAAATTGAACAGACTGATTTTAAAAAGTCGATCATTTTGTTACGTGTATAGCTACATGACAACAATTTGATGGGTCAATTAAAAACTCTCTCTCTCATCTCTTAATCTCTCATCAGCAGCGATAAAGCTTTGAATCCGCGATTACAAAATATTTGGGACGAAAACTGACTTTAGAAATATAATACGAAGATCAGAAGAAAATGTAGTACATTTTAAATAATATACTCACAAAAAGTTCGTAGGCAAAAAGCGGACACAGCTCAATAACAATACTTCGTTTGATATTTACTTTTCGAAGTACATAACCTATGCCCGAACCGGCCCGAACCCATTACGGTTAATTCCGATTTGATTTGTGTTGCCGCTGGAATAACTGATCGCGGCCGAATATTTTGTGTTGACTTTTCTGACTAAGTTCGCAGTTCGACACAACCTTTCTTTCGTTCAATCGGGGATATAAATATTGCATTTGTGAACAACAAATCGGGTATTTATTTAAATTTTATGTTGCTTACAACTGCTAAACAATACGGAAACTAGTTTTTATTTATTACAAGCTGATTGTAATGTTAAAAGTCAGCATTACATAGTGTATTTAGTCATATTTCGGATAATATTTTGGACCAGGCCTAGAAAATATATTTATCTTCCTGGCAGCAAAATTCAAAAATTAAAATTTCCTGTGTAAGTCAACTATAAAACGTCGTTCCTATGTAGATTTCAGAGAACGTGTGGACTATGATGGCGCACACCTCGACTTGCAAAATGCTTAATTTGGAATTTTTAAACAATAAGTAAATTATATGGCGTCCTGTATATAAGATGACAAAAAATTCCTGCAAGGTGCAAGAAAATTTCCTGCGAAGATATTTTGTTAAACATTTCCTGGCAGAGGTGCTGCTGGCGCTGCCGGAAATTTTCCAGCACTGTTTTGGACCATAATTTCGATTCTCTTTGGGTTTTTTACTTGTCCGCGATGAGGTAGGGGGGGGGGGGAGGGGGTTCAAACAATCGCGGCCCAAGTCCGCGATGCGGGACGAAATCTATTTGTCGACGGCCCCTAAACAAAGTAAGTCCGTGACGGCACACGTTGGCCAGAGCACTTTGGCTACCTCCTTGCTTTTTTCTTCTATTGCATAAAGCTTGTTGGCAAGCCAAGCGATTAGCGATAACACGTTGGCTATAACTCCTCATCTTTCTTGTTTAAATAAAGAGCTCTGCAGACTCAACTGATTTCTTTTAGTCTCGATCACAAGTTATTTTCTTCGTAAACGCCATACAAACACCTGCTTCTGTTTAATAGTTGTTTACGCTTTGTCTGATGCAATTTTTCGCTCTTTGTACTGAGTGTAGCCAGCTATTCTGTGGTGTAGCACCTTATACAGCCAATGTGGCCAATGTATAATGAATACACGGCCTAAAACTATTTATCTTCTGGCACTTTATAATTGGGCGCCGGTAATGCATAACGTCATCAATTTATATATTGCGTAGAATGTTTATATATTTGAAAACAACACTCTCTCGCTCTTTCCTACCTCTGAATAATGTACCGGTATACCGTGAAAATAATATCGGCACTCATTTGAATGCCTAGAATCTCAAAGATTTTCGACTCAATATTTACGTCTGAAATGTTTAATATACAGTACACGTATACACTTGGAAAAAAAGCACTGTCCTAGCTCCTTGCTAGCTCTGTAAAATGAATATACCGTCTAAATAATATCGGCACTTAATTGAATGCATAACATCAATTTATACATTGCGTATAGATTCTCGAAGATTTACTCAATATTCACGTCTGAAATGTTTATACATTTTAAAACAACACTGTCTCGCTCCTTCCTAGCATCGTCACGCCATCGTGATCTACGGCTTGATAGCGCATGCGCATTTGCGCTGCTAAAGAAAAAATCGGGTGTTCCGGGGTAAAGATCCTTTACACAACATGAGAAGCGCATGTTATAAAATTTACAATAACGACAACAATTCCTCGAATTTTTTGTAAACTTGGCAAAACTTGGCAAAACTTGGCAAAAGGCCTAAAGAATATTTAAATAAGACAACTGAAATTGCCTAAAATAACCTTCAAAGCACAGACTAAGCACGATAAATCATTACGAACATATACCGTATACACCCCCCGGAAAGTTTACTGTATGACTGAATGACTGACTGTTTCGTTTGAATCCCCAAGTCATCACAAAGAAGAAACTTCGAAGAAACTTTCGAAGAAACTTCACACTAAAAATAAAAAATTTATAAACGCTAAAGTTTAATCTGGGTTATACCAATCAACATGCATGTTTCGCACAACCCGACCCAGGGATGCACTACCGCTACCATTAATGGACTAATGACCAATCCGATGCGTTTGATCTATCGGATTAACCAATCAGACGCGTACTAACAGGCCATTGTCCGACCCATTCGTGAAATTGTCCGACGTAGAGAGGAAACCAGCGGACATTCTGTCCAACCTAAGTGAAACTGAGGTTTATTGTTTGTCCGACCCGAGTGAATTGTTGTCCGACCAAACTTTAGCTTTGTCCAACGTAAATCAAAATGTACCCTAGCCTAGGACTAAAGGCTTGTATGTTAAATGGAAAATCAGAGTAATTGTGTAAAAGGTAAACTGGAAATGTCGTTTTAACGTAGTCGAGCGCTGGGCGGCGAGCGACATGGTGAAGTGGAAAACTGGCTTAAGTTGTTATTCTGCTATTCCGGAAAGCAAGTTAATTTTGGCTTGGGAACAAGTATGGAAGAAACAAATAATTTAATATCTTCACAACACTTACCGTTCAGAATTAAAACATTGTGCTGATATTTATTTGTGTCATTCAGACTTATTTCCGAGTCAAAACTGAACCGAAGGTCATCGGACATATGTCCGACCCAAACTCAACGTCATCGGACATTTTGTCAGACGGTCCTGTAAAAGATTTTTTAAGGCCTGGTACTAAGCCAGTGAAATGTATAGTAGAAGTCAAATCTGACCCTCTCTAATGTCGTAAAAGATGATATTATGGATACTTTAGATTTCTTGTACTTTTTACATGAGCCTGGCTAGCTGTCGTATTAGTTCTGTTTGCCAAAGTGGGTTTATAACATGCCAAAACCTGTTCATATACGAGTTAAGAGTGTAAGGTTGCCAAGAAACTAAAAAAGATTTGGTCTGAAACTACTCGATATCAACAAGAACAAAATAAGAAACACATTTATAGCGTTTCAGGGATATGTGGTAAATGTGCTGACCAGCCAAACATGGGGTAAATGTGCTGACCAGCCAAACATGGGGTAAATGTGCTGACCAGCCAATAAAATCTAGCTATTTTTGACTACATTTTTTGACTGCGTAAATTATCAGCTTTCCATGTATATACAGTTCAGTGGTCGAGTCTCCTAAACACAAGCAACTCAGCGGTAACCAGCCCGAGGCAGCAATTTACCTTGCGATAGTAACTTCTAGTATATAGATACTAAGTTTGCGAATAGATATACTTAAAAAAGTGGCTATATCTACGGGTACGTAAACAGACTTCGCCAGGCTATATTTACGGCACCCTATGTACCGAACCGGCACTATAAAGGCCTGATTCACGAGCGCTTTTCGTCGGCGAAATGCGTAATATTTCGCGTGTTTCTTTTGAATTGCGACCACTCGAATAAATTATTTCTACTTGATTGCTCACAATTCAAAAGAAACAGGCGAAATATTTCGCATTTTGCTGACAAAAAGCGCTCGTGGAATCAAGACTTAAAGCGTATTGCTTACAAAGGATTTCAGCGAGCTCGAAAATAGCTCAGAAGGTTAGGCAAATGGCTGCTGTGTTGTAGTCCGCGGGTTCGAATCCGAGTTTGTGATGGATTTTTGTTCGCCTTAACAAAACATGTTTAACTTTTTTTTCTGACTAGTTTTAATTTTTTCAGGGGTTAGGGTTAGAGGTTAGGGTTAGGGGAAGGATTGGGGTTAGGGTTATTTTTGTTTTAATTTGACTTTAACTATAAATACAGGCCGTATGGAGACTAAGAACGAGAGTGCCGTAAATATAGCCTGGCGAAGTCTGTTTACGGGCCCGTAGATATAGCCACTTCGTATACTTAATGGCACAATGGCATCAGGAGAGGGAAAGAACCTTCTCAGACGTGAGAAAAAAGGATTCACCCAGTCCAATGACACAACGACCTAGTCAATTCACTCACGGCTAGAATTTTTCACCTTTTGTTATGACTTACAGTATCTAGCTGTACAAATTTGTTCATGGGTAGTGTTTCGTACTGAATTTTCCCACTTGTTAATTTGGTTGCACTAAGCTCACTCGCTCATTCACTATACAGCTTGGTTATTTTAAGTTATCAAACAAACGTGGATGGAAACATAACCTGGCGGCAGGTAATGACAATATGATAATGATTATAAACTCACCCAATCTATTGACGACATATCTTCCCAGAAATCCAGTTGCTCCAAAAACAGTTGCTACCACACCACTAAATGATGAACGTCCGCCTTTACCATGTTTTGGCTCAAAAGTTGAATAATGCTGTTAAATAAAAACAACATTGTTATAGCACACTTGCAGATCTTGTTCTGGTGCAATGGTGTATAATTGTGAAGACTACTTTTAGTTAAGGTTGCGCCATGGCCAAAACTGCATATAGGCATTCGATGTAATTTTAACCATTAACAATACAATTTAGAGGACAGCAATGAGTTAAATTGTCTGGCATAATTAAGACAGAGTAAAATTATAATAAAATATGGTTCTTCAGGGCACAACAGGGCCATTTATATGAGACAAAATAAATTGCGACTTACATATATAAGCGTAAAAATGGTTCTCTACAGCTCTAGTCTTATTTACTTGTTATAGCTATGTTGTTGTTTTGGTTGTTTTTGTTTTAATATGCAAGGCTAATAATCTTACTGTGCTGAGTGGTTATATTACTACCTTAAAAAACAAGCAGAAACTCGACGTTTCGAGCGAAGGCCCTTCGCAAATCCCTCAGAACAAACCCTTTTATTATAAACTTGACCACGACATTCTTTTTGAAAGCAAACTTCCCACAAGCATGTGGGCTAACAGTGTTCTTAGGAAACTGATCTGAAAAATTATCCGCCAAGTCGGTAGCGTGGCAGGGTTCTTTTAATTTCATATCACATCTTTTTGCAGAAACATATATTTGGTCCTTCCCTAAGCACAAGCTAAGAAACACTAATCCAGTGCTGAAAAATGGCTGGCAGCACCTGCAGCAGTGTGCTGCTGACAGGAAATTTTTAACAAAATATCTTTTTTACACATTTTTGTCATCTTGTATACAGGAATGCTAATATAATTTTCTTATTTTTTGAAAATTCCAAAAGTATTTTGCAAGCTGAGATTGTCTTGCTCCAAGATTGAAGCTTATCGCATGTACTGTGCAGCACCATATGTTCTCTGAAATCTAGAGCTGTGCGTTAACCGAAAGATTTGGTCGGTATACATTTCTTTTTTAGCAACCAAAAGTCAGCAGCGGGCATGCAAAAAAGATCCAGTAGTTTTGGTTCCTGACGTGTCACTGCTTTGTGTCAGAAAAATAACAAAATGTCTGCACAAACAAGGACATGTCTTCTTTCATCACTTTATTTGGAATAGGCGTAAAAAAAATACCGGTCCTGTGGTTGCGGTTCCCGACCGACCCTATTTTTTTTTCTACCGACCCTATTATTTTTTCAACGCGATTGACTGTGCGACCCTATTTTCTCCAGGTAGTACTGTGGGCTGCTCATACAGCGTGCCAAAATGGCGTCTGTTGTCACACTAACTATTGAAACAAATTGTCTAAATTCGTCCATAGGAAATACGCATCTCTAGTTAATATTGATGTTGGGACTCTACCGCAAATTGTCCAGCAAAAAACCGCCAAAACCATTAAAAAAATATTCAAAAAATTTTTTTTTCCGACCTACTGACCCTAATTTTTCACGATATGAAACCGCGGAACCACAGGTATTTGTTTTTTACGCCATATATTTATTTCACAAGTCTATCCCATATATCAATGGAGATGACTTTGTTCCACTTAACTACTTATAAGTTGTTTATTTTCATGTCATATATACAATTTATTGAGCAAATGACTTGAATTGTCCTGCTTTTGAAATACACCCTTACGATAATTACGTCACAACTACACTGTTTTCAACTTAGGACCATCTTAAATGGAAAGGATTTCAAGTTTGTTTTTTTCTTATGGGCTATGCACAAAGAAACAAGCCTTGTTTTCGTGTTAATGCTTATTTCCATATTTATTGATCAAAGTCCAATTTCTTTTCCACGCCTGTGTTGAAGAAGGATGTTCGGCTTCTCCATATGAGAAAAAAACCTTGAAATCCTTTCCATTTAAGATGGTCCTAAGTTGAAAACAGTATAGTTGTAAAGCAATTACCGAAAGGGTGCATTATTGCAACCAACACTAAAACAAGGTTCTAATCACTCCCAAAAGCCCACAGCCGAGAAGATTTCTGGAACTGCACAGCTCCTGGGTGTTTTAAATTTGACTTACACAGGAATTCTTACAAAGTGACTATACAACCGGCTATTTAGTAAACTGCTGGCTATATAATGACTATAGTTAAATATAATAACTTTTGTTTATACTAGCTTTTACCAAGCTAATTGCCATACTAATAACAAATATATATATTTTTTCTTAATTTTTTTAAACTTCTACCTTTTCTAATTCACAAAAGGTTAGGGTTAGGGTTAGAGAAGGGTTTGGATCGGTTTATCTTATAAAAATTAAACTTTAATAACTATAGTCACTAAATATCCAGCTGTACATATAGTCACTTCCCACACTGGAAAGTTTGGAAATTGCACGTCAGAGAGTGCCATAATTTAATATTAAATACATTGGGAACATCAAAACTGCACGGGTACTTTATAGTTCACTGTACCTGTATACCGCAAGTATTTGATGGAGTGTGTTCTGATGGCAAGTTTTCCAGTTCTTTTATCGCATGTTTTGATGGGATATGTATTCAGTGGGTTATTCTGGTACGGTAAAGTGTAAATTTCCAACTGCGCATCCGAGATCCCAACTGCGCGTTGCAAACTTTCCAGACTGGCCATAGTGGAAAGTTGGGCACTTTAACGGGAGATCTCCCGCGGCAGGCAAAGGTCAAAAACTGCTGATGCGGCAAAACTGTGCGGCAGAAAAACTGTAAAATTGATAGTGCGGCAGAATTCTGCGGCAGAAAAAGTTTAGAAAATACCTGCAGCACAATTTGGGTGACACGTCAGTGGTGTGTTGTATCAACACATCTTAAGATGTATTCATTATTCGACAAAAAAGCTGTGATGATTTTACTGAGCACATCTTTTTTAAGAGTGAAGGCTTCAATGTTTACTGTTTAGTGATCAGCGGTATTGCGTGTAGTCTTGAATTTTTACCTGCGGCAGCGTTGTATTTTTGGCATTGCAGCAGGATGGAATTGTGTTCTTGTCAACTGCGGCAGTCTCCTGCGGCAGCCAAAGCGTACTTTCCACTATGGCAGACTGGGTCACTTCAAAATTTTTATTTTACATTGTGCTGCCAAGAAGAGAAATATATTTTCTAGGCAGCGCAAATAATTTGTTTTTGAGTGATCTCACACAAATACACCAAAACATTTCATAACTCACACCAGAGCCATGGCATAGAGAACATGGAATGCAGTCTGAGAAATTGAGTATTTGAGTGCAAAATTAAAATATAAACCCACCTTGGTTTGAAAGAAAACTGAGCACACCCCAGCTGATTTCTGGACAGACTTCGCTAAAATTGATAGGAATAAAGATTTTATACGCAATATAAAATCCCACACAACAAACCACTTCGACAAATTATATATGTACAATATTTATACTAAAATTTCACATACTTTGTACAATATTCAAATGCCATTATTTTGGAAACACAATTACATTGTAGGAAGTATCAAATAGGCACATACAAGCACATATAAATACTTTATCATATTAGCACTAAATACAGATAAATAATGCTTAAATTTCTTCAAACATACCTGATAAAATGCTAGGACATTTTCGCAAATACAAAATTGCAGTCGCCATATTGCATTTTGCAAACATCTCGTCCCAGTCTCATAGTTTAATACGCGAACATTGAAATTTCTCAAGAAACCAGGAAGCACCACTGAACTATGTCAACTATCAAACATAGTTCAGTATATACAGTCACTGGGAGGCACAAAGAGATTTTTCCAATTTTTCCACAAGATTTTCCATTGGATTTTTTATTCTAGTTCAACATATCCAGGGACGCCGGAACGATAAAAAGGCAAGGGGGGCAAACGCACACCAAAGGGCACTTCTGTAGACCCCGGTGAAGATATAAACCTACAATAATGTGTTGATTTGCCAATGAAAACAAATGTACTTAATCAGGTCACATTCAAGATCACACTTCATGATTTTGCCCATGCAAAAAGCATCACTGGGAACGTGATTTATCAGGTATAGTACTTTATAACTCAAAGGGCACTTCTGCCCCCTTGTCTCTCCTATCAAAATGCAAGCCCCCGCAAAGTTCCGGCGTCCCTGAACTGCTGAACATATCACAGGTTTTCGATTGGTTTTATAAGGTCAATTATGGCATTATAAAAAACAATTTAAAACACCCTCAGTGAAAAGGTTCAAAATTTATGGTGAGACATAATTCAGCGCATAGGTGGAGTTGTCTCATAGAAATAATACGGATATAGAATGCGTACATGTCTCCAGAGGGGGGTAATGGGGTATTTTCGTGCTGCGTATTGGGGTAATTTAATTATTCGTTCTTCGTTCAGTCCTCTTTTTATTAAACGTTTTTCGATCCCGACATGGATGCCGTGTATCGTGCTTGCGGTGTATTCAATATCCGTTCTCCGTTTTCAGCTGTATTTAAAGACGGTTATTTCTCGTTTCTGGACAATATATTCCATTAATTTTGTTTCTGGATTTTAGCTATGTTTTGATTGAGGAACGGAGGTTTCAAAGTTTATATAAATCATGAACATCGACGCAATTGTAAACAAATAGGCGAACACACCGCCTAGTACAGACTGTTTATATTCACTTTTAAGACTTCTAAGTATGATTGTTGCTTACATTTCATGTTCACTTTACATTTCAGATTCGTAATAAATTTCTTTTACGTGCTTCAGGACTTCCTTCTTTTATTTTTCATGCTTCAAGATCGCTGCATATTATTTTTCGTGCTTCAGGATTGGTACCCCCCCTCCCCCATTACCCCCCCCTCTTTCCACTTTTTCTCATGCGTGCCCTATAAATCCGCCATGTTGAATTTAACTAAGAGTGCAAACTACAAAGTATAAACAAAGCCAAAACTACATTTTCATTATCAAAACGTTCTGTCTTGTTGTCTAATTTATAATTTGGGGATATATTTTGAAATATTAAAATTGACGCCATATTTAAGCCGGGCAATATAATTAGCAAAACTTACTGAACTTCAGACATAATTTTCTCTTTGGTCTAGGTAGTCTAAAATCTCCTGAATTTAGCATTATTTTACAGATAAAGCACTAAACATACTTTTTAAGTTTGTTTGCCGATTGAGAAACGTTTCGAAAAATAAAAAGTTTGAATTTAGTCATAACCTCAAGTGGTATATTATACGCATTAGTTTTTAGCGCGTGTTATACTTAACTTGATAAATTTACAGAATAAAGTTAATAAATTTAATGCAGTAATAAATTTACGTGGTGTTTCTACAAACAATAGTACTATATGTTTTATTGTTCTGCGTGAACCTGCACAGAACTTTCAGAACTCACTGACACATTCCAACAGTCTGCATTTACAATCTAAATCATTCTGACCATTTTTAACTTTAGTTTGAATTACTTTAACTGAATAAAGTACCTTAAATATTAGCCAGCTTCGCAGAAGCAATGTTGGCTATTAGCGAAGCTCGGAACCAATGTTTGAAGTTTGAAGTCTGAAGTCCCTTCACTAGACTCGTCCCCAGTCGCTTTTTAAGAGCGGGCGCGCGGCCAGAAGTGGGCGCGTAGAGGCTCACGGAAAGGGCGAAAGAAGAAAATTTAGCCAGGGTTGCCAGTTTGGCGTTAAAAGAGCCAAATTTCTCGATTTTGGCTTTTTTTGACTTCGTTTGGCTACTAAAAATTTCGTTTGGCTTCTTTCTATTTTTTGGCTCTTTTTGGCTTCTTTTTGAATAAATACTGAAATAAGCAACTTTTCAAAAAATAGTCTGCCATCTATTAGTAAAAGTTAGTTATAAACTCTGCTATGATTGATCACATTATCTGGGATTCCGGATGTACGTAAATATCCCATCGGAGTTAGTACCCTTTCCCCGGGCTTACGCGGTTCGCCACTTCGCTTCGAACGGCGCAATCTAATTCCACAAGCCTGCAATCCTCGGGAAGGAACGTGAGGCTCTGGAATAATCCGTTTCAAGGAGAAATCTATATGGCCGTTGAAATGGAATCCGCAGTTCAATCTTAGCCAGGATTCCTGGCTTTCGGCAACGGATTATCCCAGAGCCTCACGTTCCTTCCCGAGGATCGCAGGGTCTGGGAATTAGACTGCGAACGGCGGGAAAACGAAAATTATAAAATACTCGTTTTTTCTTTAATACTGTTTTTCGAACCGTAGTTGACGAAGTTGGAATTCTTAGTCACTATGTCAAATATAAATGTATTAGCGATTGTTTTTATGGGTATATAATTTGTATAATTAGGTTAGCCACACTCCCTACTCTAAATTTCGATCTTGGCTTCTTTTGGCCGGACGAGCTCAGACCAGGGTTGCCAGTTTGGCGTTAAAAAAGCCAAATTTCTCGATTTTGGCTTTTTTTGACTTCGTTTGGCTACTAAAAATTTCGTTTGGCTTCTTTCTATTTTTTGGCTCTTTTTGGCTTCTTTTTGAATAAATACTGAAATAAGCAACTTTTCAAAAACAGCCTGCCATCCATCAGTAAAAGTTAGTTATAAGGCATATTTTTCAAGTTTGCCCAGTGTGAATATACACTCAGAGTAACATCACAAGCATCGTATTCACCTGAGTACATTACACCAACACAGAAAACTCTGCTATGTTCGATCACATTATCCGGGATTCCGGATGTACGTAAATATCCGATCGGAATTAGTACCCTTTCCCCGGGCTTACGCGGTTCGCCTTACGTCTTTACTGCTACCTTGATAACTAAATAAAGTTTGAGTTAGAATTCTTAGTCACTATGTCAAATATAAATGTGTTAGCAATTGTTTTTATAGGTATATAGTTCCTATAATTAGGTTAGCCCCAGTGCCACTCTAAATTTCGATTTTGGCATCTTTTGGCCGGATTTGGCTACTTTTTACATATCATTTGGCTCTTTCGAGCTCAGACCACCTGGCAACCCTGGCTCAGACCACCTGGCAACCCTGAATTTAGCGACTGGCAGATTACTGTGATTTTTCTTGCAAGAAAGTGTTTTTCTTGCAAACTAATATTTTAAGCTTCAAGTTTGGATTTTTGACGTTGGTATACATAAATCGATCATTTTATGATGTACAGTAGTCTCTGCAAAGTGCGTATTTTTATCGAGTATATCGGCCTTCAATTGGTCAAGTCTGGAGTACTTCAAAATGGCGGACTCTGATGAACTTAGATGGTGAGTCTAAAAGATAATATAATACATTCTACCACTTGAATGTCTTGAATCTGTTGACCCTTTAAGCCGTAGCATAAATTTGCGTATACATTATACGCTCGGCTGATTGATTTGTTGCCTTGTTTCAAGTTGTAATTTTTGTCGTTCTGAACTATTCAACTATAGACTTTAATTCTATAAATTCAGATGAATGTCCTAAGACCAGCACTCCTAAAGCGAGAAAGTTACTGCCATTTGACGCCAAACACGACCTAACACCAGATTCTAAGAGTCACGGATTACCAAGAACTAAATGCAGGAAAGTTGTTCAAGATTGGAACTTGTATTTTTAATAAGTCACTTCAAAAGTCCAATGTTTGAATGTGCAGGTGATGTTAGCACATTTGTTCCTGGGGATCTTCAGGGCTCTTTAAAGAATATATACATCAAAACAGATGGGTTGAGACTTAAACAAGAGGATGTTGTTACTGATACTGGCAGCCATATTTCCTAACTGTGAAAAAAAAAAGGGTCTTGTGCGAACATATAAAACAAATATATTCTTTTTACATGTGTAAAGGCTGATGTGCATATGCAATACATAATCAATCCAATTCATTGTATTACAAATGACATAATATTTTTATATTTGTCTGGTATATTGTGTTTTGGTTAATCTTCCTCAGGATGCTACATCACAGAATAAGGTACACAAAAGGCCGACTTCTTGGGTTTTCCTATGATTTTGGCGTAACCCGTAATTTGTCATCAAATGCTAACGTCATGGTCCTAGCCAGTGCGCGTTTGAGAGGGTTAGCACTAGTTTCCATCTGTTAAATTGACGTGACGTCATTTTCAGAAGATGGAAGGGGTGTTAAATGGCTATGTAACTAACGCAAACCCTACCCTAACCGCAACCCTAACTCTAACCCCAACCAAATTAATGAAAAAATCCACAAAGAAACAACTTTAGAAATTGATCAAATTACGCAATGTCACTTTGGTAGATGGAAACTAGTGAAAACCGTTTGAGAGTCATTCACTCCCCTGATATTATTCAAAATGGCGAACGTTCAGGGGGGAATGCCTCTTAAATGCGCACTGCCAGGACCATGTCGTCAGCATTTTGATGATGAATCATGGCGTGGCAGCGGTTACTCGAGTCAACCTTCTGTGTGCCTTATTCTGTGGCTACGTGCCTCTCACCTTCCACCCCTAAATTTTTCTGCACAAACACCCACCCCCCACCATGCAGATAACATATGAAAGTATAAAGCTTTATTAAGTTAATATAATAGACATGCTCCACTACATCATGTACACTAATTGTAATTATAATACAATTTAGTTTTAAATTAATTTAAAATTATTCACTGTTAATAATTCCATTGAAGAAGTCCAATTAAAATGGTTCAAAATTAATCCAGCTTTTGTGTCTTCAATTTCCATACATCTTGCTTGGTACTGCAGTATTTTGGCACCCAGATCAAGATTAACCCTTTAAGTGGCAATGAACCCTGATATGCCCTACATTATTATTTTACTCTGTCTAACACCAGACAATTTACTCATCAAGGGAGAGTGCTGTCACTCTAGGGCTTAATTGGGAAACCAGGGTGAGTCAGGACAAATTCCCAATTGTGTGATAAATGGTGTCCCAATTGTAAGATAATTCTGAAATAAACAAGAATATATTATATGCTGTAAAGTTGAGTACAGAAATGATGATGGGAAAAAACAAGAGATACCAGAACCATTGGTGGTGCAATTATCAGATATAATGGTATAACAATCAAAAGTCAGTGCCGTAGCAAGTTCGATA